AAATTTCCGTCATCACATCAATAATCTAGCAACATTTCCGCAATTTTTCTCGACATCAGCCTTATAAAGTTCTGCTTGAGACAACTTATGCTAGCGACAGTTATTACGTCGTAACTATCAAGAGAATCGTCGAAAATTCGTTTTGATTATATCGAAGTCGCTGCTGGCATCCAGCGATCGGGCTTCTAATCTGATTCGAGCCGTTTATACGGAACCAAATGTCGATATCCACTCCAGCGTGGACTTCAACTTCCTTTTTTCCTCCCCCCGATTCGTCCCGCCTCTGGCCGTCCGTAAGGAAAAACGGAACGCTATCAGGAAACCCGATAAAGGGGGTCCGCGAATTTTCTGCAAAACCGGAGAGATCTCGGACGGAGCTGCGCGTCGTATCTTATCGTGAAGCAGACGTCCGCGGCAGAGAATCCCCGGACTCGGGCATCCCGTATATAGGTACGTACCTGTATTATATCTGCGTCGTTCACATATCTGGATAGGAGCGCATCATATTCCCCCATACCTTTCCACCTACCCGCTACCGCTCTGTATCGATACGTCGTACGTATACGGGTGGAATATCGCGCACGTGTATCTATATTATATCTCGCGAAATATCGAATGGGCGTCGTCTCGAACGGAGATGCTGTGCTGTAGGATGTCCTATAGCATATGTCTAGAATGCGCGCCGGATTACCGATCGCGACAGTATCATTTATACGAAATTCCGATTGTTTGCAGCTTTATACTATATAAAATGATAACAACTATGTCCAAATACAAAAATATTATCTTTAAGTCTTATCAATGTCTGCAGCATGAGCTCAATAAAAACGATAATTAAATGTAAAAGATATGCTTCCACAAAAATTTGCTTATACAAATTATATTCAACTGTATATATTACTTAAATTTGAAGAATTTTATTATTAGTTTGATAATTATAACAAGAACAGATTAATTCGTCAATGAATATGATTTTATAGTCAAATTATTATCATATTCGTATTACATTGAAATTAAAATATATTCTTATCTGTATATACAATACGTTTTTGAAATATTGGATTGGACGTGGTTCATTTTTCTCTTCTTCCTGTTGTGCAACGGACGGTATCTGTATCTCTTTCATAATAGGTAATGCATGTGTATTTGTGCGCGAAATGCACACCTACATACATATCGGCAAAGTACCCATTACCAGTATTCGAGCGATATTAATCTACTCGGGCTAATTGCATGTCGATTACAGTGATCGTAACGAGTGCCGATAAATACTGGAATCAAAGTGAAAAATTTCCACTTGAAACGTTTTAGGCCATGCGTGCGATACTGAGTGTGATGAAGGCTGTTTTGATCGATATAATATATCGCCGGTCCATTTGGGAGATGTTCTTCTACTTTATGATATGCGAGGTTCCTCTTCAATTTACGAAATAAATTACAGGAATTATATAGAAATTAGTTCTTCATATTAATGTACTCCTCTATAGCGTGTTATTATTGATATTCTCACAACTATAAAAATGTAAAACAAATTTATATCTATTTTTAATACATTTTGTTACATGAATTTGTAAAAATTGCTTGAAAATTTTATGAATACAGTAACGTTTCATTGAGTCTTAATTAATTTGAATTGATTGATTATTTAATTTATACGATAGCTATTTAAAATCTATAAGATAACATTTGTGAGCCCCGGATCGTATTTTTACAGGACTTATGTTACTAACGAATAACTTATATTAATTTTGAATGTGACGGTATAGAAAATAATCACGTTACGAGATAAGTTAAAAATGATTGGATTCTTTTTGCCATTCATCGCTCGAATTTTGCAAAAAAAGACCGCGGGCATATCGAGCATCGGTTGTCTCGGGGAACGAGAATGGTTGAGGATGAAGGGCAACACAATGGCATTACTAATGATTTTACTTCGAGCGACCCTCAGGGAAGTCATATCGATACGATAGGATACCACGATACGCGGGCAGAAACGCCCGCACCGGTCGGATAAACCAGGAACCTTCAAGCCCTCCGCTTCCGTTTTTACTGACGGCGAAGAACGAAAGAAGAGGGGGAAAGGAAAAGAGAGAAGGGAGAGAGAGAACACCGAGACCAGTTCAGGGGTTACGTCTACTTGATCGACCCCGTCGACTGTCGATGATTTCGTTTACTTCGAAATGGAAAAGAGCGAACAAAACTTCGATGATGATGTATCTTACAGTTCAATTTTTGAAACGCCGGTATCTTCAATTAATTTGATTGATAGCTAATTTTATTTATATTTTTTTTTATCTTTTTCACTTCTTTAATTATTATATTCTCTTTTAGTTGCAAATATAAGTATGTATCTGCGTCACACACAAAAGAAAGATTTATTTAAATTACATCTACAGATATACTTTATTATTATTTGTTGACATTAACTTTATATATATACATAAAAAATTAATGATTTAAGTATTTATTTAACCGTTGTTTTGAAATAATAATTCTTTTTTCTATAACATAACGTCCGAAAATGAGAGATTCAAAGATCAGACACACACGTTGGTGTGTAAAAATTTGGAGAAGAAAAAGGGACAGCTGTATATTCGGCAACATCGTTTTAGGGGCTGTTACGCTCCCACGAGGCTGTACGAGGCCTTACCCTCTCAGTACAGCTAAATGTCTACATTCCTTCTACCATTCTATCCCTCGTCGCGCCACACACTTCGAAACTCCACTCACTCCGCCATTCCTACGCCGGAAAATCCCTCGCGGCGTTCACTCAATCATACGCTGTTTGTGTCGCGACGACCACGTAGCGCACAATCGGCGCAAGAAAAAGATGTCCATCGAGCAAAAAAACTCACCCTGCTTGGTCTTGGTGTCATTCAAGCTCTCAGGCCTTCATCTCTTTCTTCTCCTTGTCTATAATCGCAGTTTTACACCACAATCACAGATCAATCACTGATTCATTTTGCTGGAAATATCAGTTAGAACCATTTCAATATATTTAACTCCACTGGTTGCCTTAGCCAGCATATAGATTCTAATATTTTATCTTTTTTATTGACTGTTATATTAATTAGATAATGATAAGTCTGAGAAAGAGAGAGAGATACTTTTTACCGTATATCTTTAATTTTAATTTATTTAATAGTCATTAATATTGTATTGACTAATTTTAATTATCCGCAATTTCTGTATTGACGATTTATTTTAATTATTTAAATTTCTGAATTATTTTATCTATTATTATTGTTACATGCGTTAATTCTGACTGGAAATTCACTATGTTGGGTTTCAAGCAGTTTCTATAATACATATATATATTGTTTTGCTGAAATATCTAACAATTTAGTTAGATACAGTTCTGAAAATAATTATGTAAGACACTTAAATTGATTAGAATGTTAACACTTTTTATAGTATTGTATGTGTGTGTGTCACCAACGTTTGAGTATTTTACATAATTATTTTAAAGATCCGACAACATTATTTTTAAATCTGCGTCTAACTAAAAATTTTTTAATATTTCAATCGTTCTTTCGATATTTTCATTTAAGAAGCTTCTATATAGTTGACAATAGAAATACACTTTTGTATATATTTATCAATATCCGATGATGGCTCGAAAAGTGAGCCGAAACGTTATATCTTTATCACTAAATTAATTTGTTTATTAAAATATTATTGCGCTCTAAAAAATGATGTGACTTATATTTGCCGTCATCAATTCTTAGCATTATTATTATATTTATCAAAATGCAATCTGAATAGACATCGAAATTTTTTCTGCATATACTTATGAATATCGAATTTTACGCTGTAGAATACTATATGTATAATGCGCATTAGAATACTCTACAATTACAGCATCATACATGGATGCGTAAGATCACGAAGATAATATTCTCGCTAGTAATTTCGGTTCCTTGATTAACAATCATCTTTGATGCCTACTTATTACAGTAGGATGGCAATTTCCTGCATCATAAAAAAATATTTATTTTTGCTGTAATCCGACGCGCTGGCGCGTAGGAAGCGGAACGCATTTGACTGGTTTAAATCTCGTCGAGTCACTACCGTTAAGTACGATTAATTATTTTAAGCTTTCCACTTCACGAGCATCGCTCAAAAGCAGAATCCACTATCTGCTTTCCACAATCTGCGTGAACTGTATTTGCATTTCGCAATTGTTTTTTTTTTTTTTAACATCTCGATTCATTCGCACTAGGCATGGGTTGGATCGCAGTGGTAATTAATTTTGCAACACTCGATGCATAATGCGCCGATGCAAGGTACGAGATATATATCATAATAATTTAATCTTTAGTCCGTACAGCACAGATAATTTTAGCAATATTGCAGCAACGATGTAACATTCCAGCAATATTGCAGTAAAATTGTAAATGTTGCAGCAAGCTTCTGTAATATATTTACGAGAACAGTTGTCGTATGACATCTAATTGCTTGAAAAAATTTTGATTACAATGTAAAAGTAATCTTGATAGTTTTACACATTTTTGTATGTAAAAGGCTAAAATTTTAAGACACGTTGCAGCAATTTTTAAGGTATCTTTATTATCATTATTATTTTTTCGTACTTTGCTTGTATTAAAGCAAAATTAATAACAATAAAATTTTTCATTTCTTACACATGAAAATAAGTTAAAGAAACATTACGTAAAAAGTATTATATACCGTACGCTAAATGCAGAACGTTTATCGTTAGACCCACAACTGTGGTTTCTCTTATTCTCCCATGAAGCATCCTCCAGGAACTCTCTGCGACGAACAATGTCTGTTTTCCGCTTCTCCCCCACCGCAGAAACCATTTTTATTCGCTACAGTATGCGCTTCATAATCTTTGTCGACTCCTCGAATGTCAGACTTCTTCTTGCCCTGCCCGCACATCCTTTTCCCTCACTACCCATTCCCGCAACCCTCCTAGTCGAATGTTGCCTCGCTTTCTTGCGAGAGTTTCTCCTCAGGATAGAGATCGCCTTTGTGCTTCCATCGACTTGGGCTGACAGGTGGAAATGGACGATTAAACGATCGACAAACCCGCCAAGAATTGTCTGGAAGCGTTGGTCAGTACTACCGCAAAAAGCAGTCGCATTCAAAACAAGGTGTTTTTTGTAACTCGCCATTTATGTCTAAGAAGTTAAAAGAATGGCGCGAGAGAAAGGGAGCGATGTTTGTTTCAAGTAAACATCGTAAAACAGATGTCTTCTTCTTATTGCAGAAGCAAATATATGTACAAATTTTTTAAAGTTTCAAAAAGGAAAATTTTATTTGTTTATCATTTACAAATTTTTTAATGAGATATTGATAATTATTAATCATAATTATAATTACCAATCATAATGCTTCATCATAATTTTTCTTTTGATATTAAATAGCAAAAGTATTAATTTTGTTTTAAAATTAAACCATGCTACCGAAATGTTATAATAATTGTATACATTTCAAAAAATAAAAATGTCTTGAAGAAGACGTATTAATAAAAAAAAAATAATTTTTACAATAACACTTCTTTTCATAAATATCTCTTATACAATTACATATTCTCACACACTGTTTCCATTATGTTTCTGACTATTCTGCTATATTCTAGAGTTATGTGTCTTTCTTATCCTAGGAAGCTCGTACGATCTCTTCGAATACACACGCATCGAGGCAGGGAGAGAAAGTAAGCGAGAGAGCGATGAATGGAAAAGGAGGGTTGCGGCCGAAAAGAGAGCAAAGAGGTTTAGGTTAAAAGAAGAGGACGATTATTTATGGGACGGTTGTATGGTGGCGCGTCCGTGCCATGCATAGACAGTACCTCATTCCAATCGGCAAACGAATGGCTCATTTTCTGTCCGCAAATGTACGGAAATGCCACTCGAGAACGGCATTTCTTAATATTCGCCGGTATTAGGAGATAACCGGGGTAAGTCACGTTCCCATAGAAACGCAACGTTGCTATACTCTTAAAAACCGACCTGTGACTATGCAACGCTTTGATAGCATAAGATTTTAATCTTCTCTTTTTTAATTTAATATCTTATTGTGTTAGGACTATATCGATCACTATTATTTTTAATGTAAAAACAAATGTGATGTCTTAAGATATGAAAACTTTGTACTTCCTCCTTTTCGAAATATGAAATACTATCGATTTTTTAAAAATGTATTATATATACATATATATTTTTTTTTTATACGCATTATTGATAATCATGAAACATGAGAATAAATAAGCTTTATATGGTAAAAACTACAGCACAATCCATTAAGTTAATAAGCGGATATTTCTCACGACATCTCACGTTAAACCATATCTCAGAGCCAAATTTTCATGGTGAACCGCGACGTTGAAAGCGCGAAAGCCACGTCGTCGTTGGAATGGAGGAGGCCGGGTTCTTCTTCCGACGGAATCGTCGTGAAAAAAGAGAAAAAAGGGGGCAGGACGGTGGCAGAACGGATGCAGCTTTTCAGAAGAGCTTTTACGAGTCGCATATGTGACCGCCATCTCCTTTATCCCCCGCTTTATATTCCTGGCACCGTGTTACATCCCTCCTACCCTCCGGCCACCAGCTTCTCCTAGTACAACCATCACCTCAACCCCCACGGCCGCTCTCTCACGGCGTCCGGGGGCAAGGGGTGTCGGCAAGGAACACCGACACACCGCCTCCAACCGTGGCCGACCCTTGAAAGCTTCGTGAGGAATTCTTTTTTCATATTCACTAGGGAGTGATAGTCCGACGTAACCTAACAAATTTCCAACCCTCGAATCTACGAGAAATACACCCTCCATCTCGTTCGCCCGAACGCGCATTTAAATCCTCAAAGATCCTCGTCTTGCTCGAGCGAGAACCGATCTTTTCTCGTACAGTTTCCCGCCATCCGTCCAGTCCTTCCACCCCCATCCGCCATTCCACCCCCGACTCCACGAAAAGCATGGTCGACCACCACGACCGCCCAGGGACCGATTCTTTCCACGCACAATTTACAGTTTCACATTTTATTCCCATCGCGCGTTCGACAGCGGGGGGTTGAGGCGCGGGGGCTCCACTCGGATAAACTCGTTTCTCCCTCCTGGTCGCCAATCATCTTTCCTACTGGGTCTCTGCGGTTTCTTATGGAGAACGGGGGCCTCACCCGGAAATCCGCGAAATTGTTATTTATGATATCGAACTTGGAGGGCACAACTATATCTCTACGTTGAATTATAAGATCAGAGCCAATGCAAATAATTCGAAAGCTACCACTGTTATTCTAAGTAATAAATTACAGAAAACAATTAAACAATTATTTCTTAAGTATATATTTTTTAATACTCAATTAAGATGTGGTACTTAATTTGATATCAATAAAACTCACATACTTTCTATTTAATTTTAAATTGACATCAATTTGTTTTTGTGTAATTATATGAACAGGCTATTATCTAATGGCCGTTTTATTACCTGCATGAGGGCTCAATTGAGTGTAACGAAATATTTTCACATAATTGAATAATCAACGGTTAATTAAATGTTAATCAAACTAAGATAATTATCGCGAATAAACTATTTATCATGATAAAATGAGTGAGTGTTGTATGTATAATTATATTCATGCAGTCATTTGAATAATTGCTAGACAAATTAATAGAAGATAAAAGGCTAACGCACATTAAATGTGCTCGGTTAAAATGTCAGAGTATTAATTAAATTAAAGGTATGCTCACACATACAAATAACATGATATAGTCACATGCTGAAAATGTATTTAATAAAATATGTTTTTGTAAAGCTAAAGATTTATTTAAATGGTTTATTTCTAATTTTGAACATGTCTTATTAATATTAATACTTGTTTGACATATAAATAGAAATATTTTAATGTTATTCTTACTGTGCTTATTATAAATACATAGATAAAGATTCAGAAGTGACCGTTGCTTTATATTCATTGTTAATTCGATTATGTGGGTGATCGCCTTCGAGATCGTAAATAATCGCTAGACATAATTATAAAATACGTAATAATTTAATTTTTAATGGTTGAGTCTGAAAGAGAACTTTGATTAAGAAATGCTTTTAGTTTTTACATTCAGTCGCGCTTTTTCCTAAATAATTGATTGCCTTTCTATGGAAAGGTGTGTTATAGATTTAGTAAACATAGTTTAATGTCTATCTACGATAATTCTTCTGATGTAATTCCATTATGTACTAATAAATTTTAAGAGATGGCAAAAAATTCTTATTTATAAAAAATGTCAATTTAAATATAATAAATTAATGCAAATAAAATTCATAATTTCATATAATATTTATCAAAGATATATCGATGCTTAAAAAAATTATTTACAATAAACCGTTTCTTACTATTTTCACAAAATACAGTTATGGGCTACTTTATAAGTTAATGCAGTATTTGGTTTAATCCGCAGCACGTGCGAACTATTAGAATGACGGCGTGGAAGGACGCAGCAGGTCGGCAAGACGATAAATTACAAAGAACGAAACGATGGCTGAATCACTGTAAGCTGCTAGGAGACATTAAAATGCCGCGCCGCAAAAATCGAACAAAGTGGGAGGCACCGTGGTGCATTTTGCGTCACGGTCACGCAAATCCGCCGTCGATTGGCACGAGTTACGGCGTCGCGAAACGGTTGGCCGCGGACACGTTCGGAAGTCAATGACGGATCGGCATAGGAAAGAAACGGAGCTATTAACTGACCGGTGAACAGAAGAAACGACCTCGCGATTGCACCGTGACGAGAATCCGTCGCCGATGTTGATCAACGCTGGAGTTCACGAATTTAACGGCGATTGACGGAAGTGTTTGACTCGCGAAAATTTTCCAGTAAGTATCGCTGTTGTATTGCAAATTTATATATGGACCTTAATATGATTCTGTTCGCCTCTGACGTAAATAACGCGATTTTTATTATTTCTCTCGTTATTTATCGGCATGTGCACAATTACACCTTTATGGTATAAATCAACACGCGGAAACACGCAACACGAGCGTGGCTAGACGCATCAAATCATGCTTTCGAGTGGCTATCTAGATTATCTTAAACGGAAATATATATCGTGTTGTACTGCGATATAACCGAGGATCAGGAGAAGTAAAACGTCTGTCATGCGCGTCAGTATCATAATTAAAGCCAACATATACGCTAGGAAGTAAGGAAGCGATTTTCCTTCGAGAGTGATACGCTCCTATGCCTCCATAAATAAATATACATTAAAGTCCAACACAGTACGAAAATATTAAAGTTCTAGTCCATAATTCTTTTTCGCATAGCAGATTTGCTAAAGAAATATTTCTCAACTATAAATTATGAAAGAACATTATCTCGGATATATCGCGTATCCATTTTTTCATAATTAATTTTCAAAACATAAGTTATCCATTTAATAATATGATATCGTTCCATTTTTAATGAACGTAATTATAAGTATACGAAATAATATCCGAATAATGCTTAACGCTCTTCAGTTTAAATGCAACCCGTACCCCATGTAAGTCTAACCATTATCAAGACAATATCAAAACAAAGTTGCTCCTTTAATGAACCCTGTGATTAATGAAGGAACAGGTTTGACGTAAACACATGCTGCAGCGACTAACGAGCCGTTGTTGCTTTTCTCTGGAAATCGGGGAAACGCATGTTCGAGAGGGAACGTTGCACGCGCGCTCGGATCTCGTTAATGCAGGAGCAATTTATGTCCGGTGCGCGCTCCCACTTGGTTGATTATATTTATGATTTCCACGTATTACGCCTGATTCGTAATGCTTCCAGCGCATGGGGTGCAACGCGAGAGGCGGTCGCTGCTGCATTGGTCGGTGCAGCGCGAATGATGTTGCGCTCGGGCCGAGCGCGAGAGCGATAAGTTAATTCGCGCCGGTGTAACTGGCCTGCGATTAATCGGAACATATCGTACCCGCGTAAATTAGACGAAGCGATGAACACAGCGGGAATACGGCAACGTCCGCGGAAAACGCAATTCGCCAGCTCCACCAGGTTGCATTTTATGGCACTCGATAGTGTGGACGCAAAGTATCACGCGCAATAATAATTGAAATATTATCGTTATCTTTATTGCTGTAGATATTTCTCTAATTGTCTTTTCTTCGATTTTGCATTCTCAGATTTCAGTAATAAATAAATACGTAAAATCGTCTCTGTAACACATGTAATAATTTCTGTAATTATATAAAGTATATTCTGTGAGAAGAGAAATATCCTGTCTGATATTTTTATCCTTTAAAGACGATCGGAAATATAACGATGATCATATAAACTCATGGGCTCTCTTAACAATTTTCCGTGCAAAGTATCACGCGCGATAATTACTGAAATATTATCGTTATCTTTATTACTGTGGTGTAGTTATTTGTTTAGTTGATTTTTCTTCGAGTTTGCCATTCCAGTTTTCAATAAAAATAGATACGCTGCACGTAAAATCAACTTGTAACACATATATATAATATTTAAAAAATGTATTGCGTGAGAATATTTTTATCTTTTAAAGACGATCAGAAATACAACACTGTCCACAAGTTTTAGAAACTTTCTTAACGATTTTTCCCGAGTTACTTGCTGTCTACATCCGATACTCTCCGGCAAACAATATTACATTAGCGACCTGGCCAAACACCTACTGACGTTTCGGCGATGATGACGAGCTGACATACGTTCCGGTTCTTGCTATTATCCGCCCTAGCATTTTCGTTTATCCATATTATCCTGACCCGTGTGCTTTTCTAATAGCGTTGACGCTATTGATTAGCGTCCAAAGGAAATTGTCTCGTAGTTCGTCGATAATCGAAGTTCGACGCGACGCATCATGGCTTCGCCCACGATATTACAAATAAATTAAACAGCTAATAATAGTAAGATAGAGAGGAAACTTAATACAGACAAATATTTATCATGCTAAAAAAATTACAGTTTCTATTGTAAAAAAAAACTTTTTCAAAATATGACAAAAATTAATTATGTAGTATGATGATTGTTATATACTTTCATATATTTCAGAATAGTTGCGGTGACGACTCACAACAATATCTCCAGCAATGTTATCATCCGAGGGTGGACCTCGAATCGAATTAATTTTTTCGGACACGAAGCGGCTAGATCGTGATCGCATGGACAAAATTAGATGTTCTCTATTAGAGTGGCTGACCCGTTACATTCTCTGATCAGTAAGTAGCAATAAATATCCGTTAGGTGACTACCTACCGCAATTATTAGGTAACACATGGCCTCCTAACGTACCTCTGTCACCTCGATGAAATGTTCAGCAGCACATTATTATTATCATTAGTATACAAATCATTATAGTATGTTAGTATTCTAATGATGAGGTATTATTAGATAATAATTTAATTTGTGATTAAATTATTCCTCACTGTACTTGTAACGTGTGACACTTAGATAATATAATTAAATAACGTATTTTTTCTCTTTGCAGGAAATACAAGATAATACTACTGCTTTTCAATTCATACCATAAAGCTTCTTGTGTCATCGTTACATTTCCGTAAAGAATCACACGCAACAAGAAGCCACGGTGGTCGGCGGCCGTCATTGATCTCCTGTTAGAATCGGATCACTTCGATGTAACAAGATAAATAGTCAGCGGGACACCGTCGGTGGTCGAGGGTGCGGATCGTGGAGTCATGCTGACTATGTATCTGATGATCAAGAGAACTGAGTACGCGCACGCTTGTCCGATCTGGATGTATTTAACGCGTACATCAAGGTACACTGAAAGTTCGTCGGTCTCGCAACAAACCGATGGGACACCTTTCGATTCACTTACATAAGATAAAGTTCAATTTACTTAGGTGAGATCGTCGATCCGCTTCTGCGTGAGCTAAGAATTAAATATTACTGGTAATTCTATTTCTTGACATAACACAATATTGTTACGCGATAAAGTGACGAGCGACCTGTAATTAATCGATTTGCGCTACAACGACGAGAAAAGCGATAAACGATTGACCAAGAATCACCGGAGCAAGAACTATATCGGATTTCGCATCATCTAACCGCAAATCTCACGATCTAATGACAAATTCTCGCTTTAACGTTTCTCATAGCGCGCTCAACGGCGGGAACCCCCAGGCTTCCGAACAGCGCGAGCCCGATCGGCTTTTTATTCCGTGCCGGGTTTTTGCACGATCATCGGGACTTTCGTCACGGCAACACCCGGGCACGTGACGCCGTGAACACGGTGTTACAGGTGTTTGCGCCCATCCACAATCTCGACTATGATGACATCCTTTCGAATCGATTCGTCAGACTTTCCCTCTCTTGGATTTTTGTCGCAACGCCTCTACCACCCGCGAGTGTGAAATGGTAACGTTCCAGGAAAACGTCAACCGATCGCGTCAGATTATCGACCAACTGGCCGGTTCGTTCTACTTCAAGCCACCATCGTTCGTTTCTTCGAGGCTCGCCGACGTTCCACGTTTTTGTTAACGGTATCCTGTGGCCGGTCCGAAGACGTCCAATAACTTCGTTAAGTGTTTTTACTCAGAATGCAGAATCGGAGGTCTCCGGAAGTAGTCTGATACAGAACATTTAAGCAAGCTTCTTTTTTCTGCGAGCTCTCGAAAGAACCGTTATTGACGTCATCTTATGTGTATCTATATATTACATCAATCATATGTCTTCCGTTAAATAATAATGAAGAATAATTTATTCAAGTTTGAGAAATATAGAAACATTTTTTTCTTCTACCTACTTTCAGATGAGTTGTCATATATTCTTAGATACTTTATATCCGGCCACAAACAATTTTGTTAAAATTTCATGAGACAAAAATGTAATTTATGTTTATGTATACATATTCATTATTTTATTAACTTATACCGTTTTATTCTATAATATTTTAATCAAGATTATAGAGTGAGATATATAAAGGAGAAATATCTTTCTCTTCGTAGGATATTGACAAAATCGCTCATGGTTAGATTCTAATATAGGGTCTCTAGAAATGTATTACAACTCGTCAGAAAGTAGGTAAGAGAAAGAAACGATCGATTCAGACAAAAACGTTGCGATTATAGAAGCTTCTGGTAAAACGGCGATTGTATGTACTATTCGACTCGTTACAAACGCGGTCACGATTATAAGTAGTCCAGATAACAAAAAATATCTAGTAAAACAAGCGAAGTGTGATCGGTTACGTGCGAGAGGGTGGGCATAAACGATGAAAGGGGTGGCCCAGGGGATATTGGCGAGGAGCTCGTCTGCTCGGTGAACCGTGGATTAAGATAAACCCTTCATCGGTTTCTTGTCGAACGATTCCTGTCGTCCTTTTGTTGGCGCAACCCGCAGATAGCGCCGGCTTAAAGTACTTTCCGTCCCCGTGCGGAAATTATTTAACGCCGGTATATCTGTCCAGCTGCAGTGGCGGCGGTGCGCGAAAGATCTTCGAAGCGATAGAAAGTAATAGAAAGCGCGCGTATGGAAGAGGAACAAACGCGAAAGGAGTAAATTTAAGATTTGCATTACCCCGCGGGGAGTAAGAATTACCCACGCGTGAAAGTAATCGGCACGGAAAAGCGGAAAGTCTGCAATTTTTATTTGTAGAAATCTGATATCTCTTATGGCGCAATTTGTAGGCTGGTAATTACCGAATCAATGAATATAAAGCAATTTAAAATGACTAAATAAAGAAAACTAGATTTCAAAAATATAAGCATTCCTTTCGTTCTAATATTAATTATTAAACAAGCTTTCTCTTTATAAAATGCTTGATGAATAATGGGCTTCTTAAAATGCTTAACGGATTATAAATATTATTAATATTTAAAATGAATAACAAATTTCCAAGCGAAACATTCTCTACGAGGAAATATCCTGATGAAAATGTCACGAATAATTGTGACATGGTTTTGAATCTTCGTGACTAGAACGTAGATTAGTTTCATGTTGTCGATTAGTTTGCTCGGTCGCGGATTCCTTCATATGTATTTAGTAATGGCGCTCATTAAAGCTGTTATAAATATGTAAGATGGCGTATACCAGAACGAGTTGAGAGAGTGCCTTGCCCCATTTTTTTGTGCATATGTATCGTTTGACGTAGGTTTCTGCATTTAAATTAATGAACGTATCATAAAATTATAGCTATGTAATCCTTTTCTTTTCTGATAGAATGTAAAAAGTACGAGTCCTACTTCTCTAATTGTAGCATAGCGTAAAGTAAAAGATTATTGTAGTTGCAAAATAGACATAAATACTTTGGAACATAAAAGAAACCTAAATAAACCTAGGATAAGAAAAGATTCAGTCATTCTATAAAAGTATCTATAGAAGTAAATTCAAATAACAATAATTACACCAGCTTACAAGGTTTTATGCAATGTTATATGAAGACTATATATTTCTATAAGAGGAATATTCGACGTTGAAACCAATCTCCCATCGAAATATTTCCATCAAGGTACGTATTATGGAATTATTCGAAATAGATTCCCATCGGAATTGTTCCCTAGACATCTATTGTGTTTTCTAAGGAAAATAGAATAATTCTGATCGGAATCCATTCTGAACAATTCCATAATATGTGCTCGAATTTTTGAAATATAAGAAAAGATTTTTTTTTCAATAGATAGAGAAGTTTAGTAAAAAGGAATAAGTATTTGATTCTTGTTCTTTTTATATGATTTTGAATCAGTTTCTCATATTTAAAATCTCCGAGAGATTAATTATGTATCTCGATATGAAATGAACATGACAAAAGTGAAACAAATTGACTACATGTTGATCAATGAAAAGTTATAAATATTCTCAATTTATTCACTTTTGCAATTTTCATCTTATTTCAAATTACACAACCGATACTCAGCGTAGTCACACTTAGCATATTTTTATTCCAATACATCTGATGTTTTTTAATTTCAATCATTATCATTAAATCTTAATGTTGCATCTTGAATTTGTTGCATCTTAAACAATGACATACTACCTATATCTTATAAATGATATGGTACACGACATAAAAATAATCTTGAAATTTTTCTGGCGACAGATTTGAACTTACCGCCTAGAGCTACGTTGTTTTCTTCTCTTGCACTAAAAATTATTTAGTAAACTAGTGTTAATGACGCAAAACGCAACCTTAATACTGTTTTATCTTATCCATAATGATAACTTTGATTTAATTAATTGCAAAAACAAAGTAATGAATACGCTTCGACATTATCTACTTAGAATGATTAGATGGCATTTATGTTAGATAATAAAGTTTTTATAAAGATAATGAAATTTTCTAAAATGCTTTTTACCGTATGTAAAGATTGCTATGATAACCATAAACAATAGTAACAGAACTATATATTTTATTATTTATTTAATTATTATTATTTATAAAAACAAGATATATTTTATTAATAAAGAGAAACAGAGCTACGAGCCGATGAATTCGTAAAAATCTTTAATTTATTCTAATATAGATTTTATTCTTTCAAAATAGAGAAAGAAAAAATCATTTGGAATAACGATTACAATTATATGTACATACATTGCGTTAATACTGTAACTATAAATGTGGATGTATCATCTGGTGTATCTTTCGACCTAAAATAAGCTGTGTTTTATTCCAAACTTTCTTCAAGTTTTTATTCTTCAAATGATATTATTACGCTGCAGAAGTAATTTATGTTACTCCTAAAGTTCGGGACCTGTTATTAAAAAATTTACTGATCTCCAGAAATACATCTATACGACTAGTATTCCTCATGGATTTCTAGAGAGATCTGCTCGCTCTCTCTCTCTCTCTCTCTCTCTCTCTCTCTCTCTCTCTCTCTCTATCTCTCTCTCTCTCTCGATCACTCTTACATATAATACATTCATATATAGAGTAGTATTCCGAAAAAGCATTTCCTTATTTTCTTGATATATATATGTTGCAATTCTTCAATCTTTGATTAGATATCTTGATAATCGCATACTTTTTTTTTCCAGAATTGGAAGTAAATCCATATTGACCATTTTCATGTAAATTAATTCTTCGCAATGCTTTCATTATCAAATACTTATATTTACGAATTTATCGGTACCTTAACACGACGTAAAAGCTAGATTATTGATTTCTCGGTGAAATACTTCCCGTATTTTTACCAAGTTGGTATTGCTCGCCAGACTCATATTTTTCTGAATGGTTTTGTTTCTCGAGGCGGTGTTCTCGAGTTGAAGAGAGTGGGTGGTCGAAGGATTTCGGTAGGTCCGGACGTTATACGTGTTTGGCGGCGGAAACAATGATATGATGACCCGTTTAACTTGTCTACAACCTCCCCGGGATGCCGACTCGTTTCCTTCTCTTGGCGGAGACGCCTTCAACGCCACCGGTTGGGTGCCCGCTGGTCGAGTTCGCGGACATTACGGATGGGATCTTCTGCTCGCTTGAAGAAATAGCGTGTTTGTCGGGCGTCGAAGGGCGTCTATAACCTGTCCGACGGGATGCTACTGCGACGACAGCTATACTCGCCACGTACAACATCGACACACTACCAATCGTCGACGCACTGAATGCGTCATACAGGGAGAACAGAGAAACAGGTGGGGGAAAAACTCATCGCCGATCGATGGATCCGTCAAATGAATTTCGATGTCGAGATTATTTATGGGATAG